GCTGCAAGTCGTCTTCCTTACTTTTCAGGATTTTCTCCACTTCTTTCTGGATGGCTTCCTCAGCTTCTCGCAGCATCTGATTAGTGAAGCAGCTTCCTCCATTTTTCTTCACCATGGTATCGATCTTGTCTATCAGCTGTGTGACRTGCTTCAGTCTGTTGGGTTTGTCGTAGTTATTGAACACGTGGTACCTTCCTCCACAGTCATCGATCAGGTTCTTGATGAAGTCCTCACCTGTGTCGATGTATTCCTCCACAGACATTGAGTGATGCTCTAAAGAATCTCCTTTAGTGAAAAGAATGATGGTGAACTTTTCAGACATCTTTCCAAAGACTCGCTTCACGAGTTTTAAAGTATCTTTCTCCTCTTCAGTGAACCTGCCGATCTGTAGCACCAACAGGAAGACATGAGGTCCTGGAGCCAGCAGACTGATGCACTTTTTCATCTCCTTGTGAACTTCTTCATTAGACATTGTTGTGTCAAACAGTCCTGGGGTGTTGACCACAGTGACGGACCGACCGTCCACCTCACCCTGAGCTTTCTGACACTGTTTGGTGACAGATATCTGGAAGGCTCCGGATCTAAACTCATCTCGACCCAGAATGGTGTTTCCTGAAGAGCTCTTCCCACAGCCGGTCTTCCCAATCAGAACAATCCTGAGACTCTCTGGACTCTCTTGCTGCTCTTCAACACCTGGAAGAGAAGAACAAACTTCATTGGCAGAGGTTGATACAGTAGAAGTTTGAGTGATTAGAGAGTGCAGCTTATCACAGTCATCACAACCACCTGGAGATTGGCAGGGTCAGAGAGGTTTTTCATCCTGAAACAGGACAGACTGAACACAAGTGGAGATGTTTAAGGACCAGGATTTCATCAAGAGTCTTCCTGACAAATTCAACACACAATGTTGTGTTGAGCTCTCCAGGATTATTGGGGCTGTATTGTTACCCACAATCTCAATCTTGCATTCTACCATCATAATTTGTACAGTCCGAACAGCAAAGTGTAGCCCCACAATACTTATTTTAAAAATCAAAAGGGCTTGGTCATAAGAAATATGATCATTGGTGGAACAGGGAATGGCAAGGGGTGTCTGTGGCCACCACAGAGAAATCTTTGGCCACCCCACTCGTCACCCTTCTGTACACCCTCATTACACAGTGACATGATTATTAGGGATGTAATATTCCTCCTGAACAGTTGGTTGTAGTGTTTATCAGTTTGAAAGTCATAATCTCATGGCTATCACTGAAGAAGAACAATAACATGGTTAGACTAGAAATTGATGGTTTCCTTTTCATATAGCAGATTTGTAATCTGATTTATGGTGTCAGTTATCTAGTAAAAAAAACTACAGAGACCAGATGTTAGACCAAAACTGAACAAAAAATACTGACAAGAACAACTTATCTAAAACACAACAAAACTATAAAAGTTCCATAGATTTTTGTCCCTATACTATCCAGCATCCTTTGCAGCTCACCCAGGCTTTCTGAATAGTTTTATTATTATTATTGTTGTTGTTGTTGTCATTATTATTATTATTATTATTCTTAATATTATGTCAATGTCAAATTTATTTCTAGAGCACTTTCAAAAACAGCAACTAACTGCACCAAAGGGCTGTACAGTTCAGCCATAAGACAACTGATAAAAACATACTGAAGTAAAAACAATAATTTAAATAAACAAGACACATACTGTAGAATACAATGTAAATCCTTATTGGAATGCCAGAGAGTAAAAATGAGTTTTCAGAAGAGATTTGAAGTGTTCCAGATTATGGATAGATCTGATATTGAATGGTAAGTTGTTCCACAAATTAGGAACAGTGACAGCAAATGCCTGGTCTCCTCTGCTTTTCAGTCTGGTTCTGGGAACCTGTACAAGCAGTGTAGAAGATCCTTAAAATAGGCTCGGGCCAAGCCATGCCACTTAGTGTAGTGTCTGTACTGTTCGGTACGGTTCCAAGCCATTTCCATTAGGCCAGATCCATGGAACCAGCACTTTTTTTAGTACCTACTTCATTGTGGTTCCAACCGGCCCCAGCTTACACCAAAATGCGACGTCAGAACACTCACTGTTCGTCACTGATTGGCTAAATCTTTGCAACTGTTTAAAATTTCAAAAGTTATTCATCAAATGTGTTTCCATCTCTCATTTTGCCCATTAAATCTTTTTCTAAAAAACCTAAAAACTACTTCCACCAACCACCCAAAACACACCCATTGGAACCAGATGGGAACATCAGTGGAAAACCAACCGGTCCGACCTGCACCGAACCGTACCTACACCGACCATTCCGACACTACACCATGGAAAAGGGGCACAAGTGTGTAGTAATAAATGCATGAATAAGTTTCTCAAAATCTTTTAAACAAAAACTTATTTTTACCTTTGCTAGAAGGTGCAGATGAAAAAAGCTTGATTTCACAACAGCGCTCACATACTTATCCAATTTCAAACAACTGTCAAAAATGACACCAAGATTCTTAACAGAAGACTGATAAAAAAGGGAACCAAGAATTTGGTCAGGTTTAGTAATAAGGTAAGTAGTAAGGTAAGTAATTGAGTTTTATTTTGATTCAGGTGAAGGAAATTTTGGTTCATCAATGATCTAACTTCAGTTAAACAATCTGTTAGAGACAATAGGGAATCATATTTACCATGTATTTTTTATGGGCACGCATATTTGGACATTGTCTGCAAAACAGTGAAAAGAAATATTATATTTCTTAAAAATGTGTCCAAGAGGCAGCAAGTACAATATAAACAAAATAGGGCCTAAGATTGAACCCTGAGGAACTACATAATTTAGGGGTGCTGCCACAGAAGAACAATGATCAATGTGAACTGAGAAACTTCTGTCTTTCAAATATGATGAAAACCAATCTAAAACTGTGCCCTTAAGACCAACACTTTGTTGCAATGGAAACAGGAGGATGTTTTGATCTATAGTATCAAATGCCACACTCAAAATCTAATGACAGTAGGGCTGCAACATCCCCTGAGTCAACTGTTAGAATGAGATCATTAAATACTCTAAGCAAGGCCGTCTCTGTACTGTGTCCACATTTACAACCAGACTGAAATTTCTCAGATATGTCATTCTCTGTTAAAAAAGACTGGAGCTGAATAAAAACAATTTTCTCCAAAACTTTAGATAAAAACGGCAGTTTAGAAATAGCTCTAAAATTACCAAGGATACTGTAATCTAAGTTTGTTTTTTTAATCAGTGGTTGAACCGCGGCATGCTTGAAGACTGCCAGAACACAGCCAGTCAAAAGGGAAGTATTTATGAAGGTCCTCGCGCTGAGGTTACACTGCGTAGAGGCGCATCCCCCAGGTGGTGGATTGGGGATCCCTGTTCCTGGTGTATAGGGGTTTGCCCGAATAAGCTGAAAGTCGAATAGGGTATTGCGAACCAAAAGCAGCCAGGCAGGTGGGGCTCGATAGCCTTGACAGGCAACCCACCTAGGAGAAGGAAAACTCTGATGTAAAACCCGGATACCATGAACAATCGTCAGTCGTCTACCCTCGATGGAAGACAAGTTGAAAAAACTTTTAAATGGAGCGGACAAGGGACCGGCCCCCAGTACCCAGCAGAAGGGGGTTCTAAAATCTCCGGGGACCCAGCCTGCGGCACATTGGGCACGGATGCTGCAGGTGGCCCTATGACCGTGCCTCTGGCTTGTCTGGTGGGGAACCAGGCTAGATGAGCCAGTAATATAGTGACTGGAACAACCTTTTCTCTGGCCCCAGGACCTGATGCTTATGTGTTGGGTCCTGGGCAACCAGAGGGTTTAGTGCCCTGGGGCTCAGTGACAGCGATGGCTTCTGCCACTGCTGTTGCTTTGTCTACAGGGAGTACCCACTGCGAGTGTAGTCCCTTGACTGCACCCCAGCGGGGAGTGGTCCGAGCCTCACAAGCACTGGGGTCTCCAGGTGATGAGGGCACCGACATGATGCTGGTGTCCTCTGATGGAGAAAAGGGTCCTAATCTCTGTAGTTTCAGGGATGATGGAATTTATACAGAGCAACTTGCATCATTGTAAAGATGCAAGTACATTGTTGTGTACTTGCCTTAGTATGATGCATACAGGCATAGCCTTGATCCAGGAACCTTGGATAGTTAAGTCTATGGTACGAGACCTGGGATTCCCTGGGGGCACACGTCTATATGATGTGAGCAGCCGCAGACCCAGAGCAGCAGTAGAATTGACAAGAGGTGTAAGATGCACTGCACTGCCCCACCTAACAGGTGATTTTGTAGGAGTGCAGTTGGACATTCAGGCAAATGGCAAATCCAGACCGATCAATGCAGCCTCTGTTTATTTGCCGTTTGATTCACAGCAGCCACCTCCATCCCAGGAGTTTGTAGCAATAGTCGATTATGCTAAAGAAAAGGGCCTCCAGTACTCATTTGTTGTGATGCCAGTTCCCATCATGTGTGCTGGGGGAGCTCTGATATTAACCCTAGAGGCAGATCTCTGTTAGAATACTTGCTGACAGAAAACCTGCTAGTCTTTAATCAGGGCAATGTACCTACCTTCCAAACTGTTAATAGGGAGGAGGTCATTGATACAGTATAACAGTCGGGTCTATGGACCTGGTAAACAAAGTATGTGACTGGGAAATATCCCCAGAGGAAACCATGTCAGACCATCGACAAATTCAGTTTAAGCTGAAGATGGGGAAACCATACCCAGTTACTTACAGAAACCCCAAAAACACTGACTGGAACCTGTTTATTAGCAGTTTATTCCAATTTATGGGTGGGATAATTGCCAGGATCAAAACTGTGCAAGACATTGAGACAGATGTCACAAGCATGACTGATGCTATGCAAAATGCCTATAATTCTGCCTGTCTGTAGAAAGTCTGGAGGCCGTCAAAGCAGCCGGCCTGGGGCTGTTCGGGCTCCCGGAGTCTGGCTCCTGGTTGCTGTGGTTGACCCATTGGCTGGGGTGGCTGCCGGAGTCTGGGGGGTGGTCGGTTGGGGGTGGGCACCTGGCCGTTGGTAGCGTGTGGGGGAGGTACGGGGCATGTCTTTGCTGGGGCGGGGGGCAAGTTGGTTGGACTGGTGTGGCCCGGGCTGGGACTTGGCTGTCTGCTCTTCTCCACCCAGATTGAAGGGGTCTACCTCCTGGGTTCAGGTGTGAGCTGCCCTCTGCAGGGGGTGGGTGCATATCCTGGACCTGGGGGGTATAGAGTAGGTATGGGGAGTGTGAGTGGATTGTGGCGTCCATCTTGTGTGTCTTTGAATGAGTGGGTGAGAGGATGAGGGTGGGACRGTGTGATTGTGTTTATGTATGCTTGTATTTTTGTCAGGCTGGGACTTGGGCAACCCCTTCTTTGGGATCATTTGAGGGCCCATTACTCCCCTGCCGTGCTGTCTTCTGGTGGGTTATGCCTTTGTCCGCCGGCGCACTGGTGGCTCTCGTTGTCCGGGGCTGGGTGCTTGGGCGTGTGCCGGCTCGGCCTGGTGGCTGTCCGATGGGGCTTGGGTCCCCCTGGCCCTGTCAGGCCTTGGCCTGGGGGTGGGGGGTGTGCCCTGGGGGCCCGGGCCTCTGTGTCCATGCCTGGATCCACTCTGGTGTGGTGGGTACAGCGGGGCCTGTGAATTCATCGCTGCTGGCCCCAGGAGTTGCTGTGTGTGGTCGCTGGTGGGGCTCTTCCGGTTCTCTCTGGTGGTCCTCTTTGGGGGGTGGGTGGGCTGCCCTTCCGGCGTGGGTGTCTCTGGGGCTGCGTGCTTGGGGTCCCTCTCGGGGTCTTTGGCGCTGGTCTCCCTTATGTCAGCTTCTGGCTTTGCGGGTCGGGTCTGTGGTCCCCCACAGTCACTTTGAAACATTCCATTGGAGAGATCCATGCATACTCACAACCGCACACAAACAGGTGTTTACATCCTGGGTTTTCTATTCGGACACTGACTGAATGGTATGTGCATTTGTGTATGTATAGATATATGTATATGTGTATGTGTATATGTCGTCGCATGATCTACAAAGAATGCAGAAACACGTTGGAATAATGCACAGAAAGTCGGCGTGTATGGTCGCC